TAATATATATATATATATATATATATATATATATATATATATATATATATATATGTATATATGTATGTATATATATATATATATATATATGTGGGGCCACATTTTTTTGGCGGCTTGGCCTGGAAGACGCTGAGGGCCGGCAGCTTGGGCTCGGTGAATTCGGTATGCAGATGAATGAGCGGGTTCACGTTCAGTTGTATCTGCAAAGAACAATAAGCAGGTTGACTATGTATATAGATCATAGTGGACAATACCCGGCCTCCTTCTCATAGATCATGCCGAGTCCCGAGTTCGAGGTGCACAACTGCACCAGGGTGCGGTTTTCCGGAGCCTTCGTCCGCAGCTCCGGCCAGTCCACCGAGGAAAACCCTCTCTCCAAGGCCTGTCATCATGTGTATATATTTATATGTATATACATAAACACATATATATATATATATTATACATGTAGTTCTATGTACCTGTTTACATATATATTTATATATGTATACACATGGACCAGTGGGGATACACCCACACTTCAAAACTTGCTGAGTAGAAACGTGCGACCGTAGCTGTGTAGAGTACTTGAAGACTATGAGCCCAAGACCCATCTCTCCACGAATACAGGCCTCGTAAAGCCTCATGGAGAGGCTTGGCCCCAGCGTGGAAACATCCACCTCTTCGGGTTCCGGCTCCATCGCTGGCAAAAGAAGCTCCCACAAATAACTGGAGCAGCAAAAGCTGCAGCACAATCCCGCAGTCTATGTCTTGCCTGTAGCCTATGTATATATATATATATATATGTATGTATCTATATATATATGAGCACACTAAAAACAATGTATGGGTATACATTATAAAGCTATAAGTTTTGACATCTCGAATGTGCACATGTGCACATGCACGTCACAAGATGATTACTCATGATGACTTGATCAATATGTATATATATATGTATATATATACATTATACTAAACTACCTGATTCCACATATATATATATATATACATATATTAAATTCATATTCATGTTGCTCGTCTAGCAACCTAAAACCCAGGCAGCACAGGGGGGGGCACACCTCGCTGCCGCTTGGTCTGCCGCCGGAAGTCTTCCAAGGCTCGCTTCATCTCGAAACCATCGCGGGATCACCTGCACGGGTTCGGAAATTCTGTGGGGGTTATAATTATGTACTTTAGGGTTTAGGGTTCAGGTTTTAGGGTTTAGGGTTTTAGGGTTTAGGGTTTTAGGTGTGTGTTTGGAGTAGGTTTCAGGCTGGGTGGAGCGGATTGGAGCAGGATTAAGTCAGGAGCGGTTGTTGCATGGCTTCTGGCTAAAACTTTCGGGTAGGAGTTGTAAGGGCGGATTGGGTTCATGGATTCGGCCTAGGGTTTTGGGTTTTAGGTGTGTCAGGTCTATGGCTATGGCCATGCTTTCATGTTTGGAGTAGGCTGCAGGCTGGGTGGATCGGTTGTTTGAAGCGAGGTTAAGTCAGGAGCGGTTGTTGCATGGGTTCTGGCAAAAACTTTCGGGTAGGAGTTGTAAGGGCGGATTGGGTTCATGGCTTCGGCCTACCATTGTGCATATTCGTATAAATAAAATATATATATATATATATATATAGCTCAATCCAACATACATATATAAAGATACATAATGTATATATGTATCCAAATATAGATACAAGGCATCCTTCACACTTTCAGGTACATTGCATGTATGTATGTATGTATATGTATGTATGATATATTTATATATATATATATATATACACACCTCTACATGATCAAGGACCCTCGCTCTTTTTCTCTGCCCCTGCCGCCCGGGTTCACCTCTCGCCGGCGATATAGCCAGAGCCATCCTGGCCAATCACCACCTTGCCTTTTGGCCTCCATCTCGAGAGGGCAAACAAAGCCTTCGGCGGCGGAACCTCCACTGCAGCCTTGGGTCCAGCAGCCTTGGCTCCAGCAGCCTTGGCTCCAGTAGCCTTCGGTCCAGCAGCCTTCGGTGGCGGGTAGGCGGGCGGAACCGGCCTCTTTGGCATTGGCTTCGTCACCACGTTCTTCGCCTTCGGCACCTTCGGCACACGTGGCTGTGGCCTCGACTTGCTCTTCGCCCTTGCCCCAGTCTCCCTCTTCGCGGCCTTCTTCTGTGGAGCCTGCCCATCCGGACGAAACCAGATGTCCTGCACGTTCCTCTTGGCCCCCCTCTTGTCCGCCTCCTCGACATCCGAAGGGTTCCAGGAGACCTCCTCCTCCTCGAGCTCTTCGTCGAGCACCTGCAGAGCAAATGTACTATATAACAAGTATTACAATAATACATTATATGTGTATATGTATATATATATATATATACAGATACATATATATATATATATGTGTATATATACATATATATATATATATAGATTTACAGATACAGGTATATAGTAAGTTACACAATATATTCAGTCCAAGCTGCTGGCGACCGGGAGCCACGAGGTCTCGAACCAGTGGCAGCAGCTGCAGAGCCCCGTCGAGG